GAACACTGGAAGTTGGCTAACATGGTGCCACTATTTAAGAACGGTGGTAAGGAAAAGCCAGGGAACTATAGACCAGTGAACCTGACATCAGTGGCGGGCATGTTGTTGGAGGGAATCCTGAAGGATAGCATTTACATGTATTTGGAAAGGCAAGGACTGATTAGGGATAGTGAACACAGCTTTGACAGTAGGAAATCATGTCTCACTAATGTAATTGAGTCTTTTGAAGAAGTAATGAAGCAGACTGATGAAGGCAGAGTGTTGGATGTGATCTATATGGACTTCAATAAGGTCCTCAACAAGGTTCTCCAATGTAAACTGGTTAGCAAGGTTAGATTATATGGAACACATGGAGAACTAGCTATGTGCGTATAGAACTGGCTCGAAGGTAGAAGACAGAGGGTGGTGGTGGAGGATTGCTTTTCAGACTGCAGGCCTGTGACCAGTGGTGTGCCACCAAGATTGGAGCTATGTCCACTACTTTTCAACATTTATATACATTATTTGGATGTGAATATAAGAGGTATGGTTAGTAAGTTTGCAGATAACACCAAAATTGGAGGTGTATTAGACAGCGAAGAACAAATGGGTCAGTGGACCGAGGAGTTTAATTTAGATAAATGTGAGGTGCTACATTTTGGAAAGGCAAATCAGGGCAGGACTTATACACTTAATGGTAAAGTCCTGAGTTGCTGAACAAAGAGACCTTGGAGTGCAGATTGATAGTTCCTTAAAAGTGGAGTCCCAGGTCGATAGGATAGTGAAGAAGGCATTTGGTATGCCTGTCTTTATTGGACAGTGCATTGAAAACAGGAGTTGGGAGGTCATGTTGCGGCTGTACAGGATTTTGGTTAGGCCACTTTTGGAATACTGCGTGCAATTCTGGTTTCCTTGGAACAAAGTTGTGGAACTTGAAAGGGTTCACAGAAGATTTACAAGGATATTGCCAGGTTTGGAGGGTTTGAGTTAGAGGGAGAGGCTGGAAAGGCTGGGCTTATTTTCCTTGGAGCATTGGAAGCTGAGAGGTGACATTATTTCACAGAATCACTACAGTGTGGAAGCAGGCCCTTCAGCCCAACAAGTCCACACTGACCCTCAGAGCATCCCACCCAGACCCAACCCCTGTAACCCACTTAACCTACACATCCCTGAACACCATGGGCAATTTAGCATGGCCAATCCACCTAGCCTGCACACCTTTGGACAGTGGGACAGTGGGAGGAAACCGGAGCATCCGGAGGAAACCCACGTAGACACGGGGAGAATGTGCAAACTCCACACAGACAGTCGCCCGAGGGTGAAATTGAACCTGGGTCCCTGGTGCTGTGAGGCAGCAGTACGGAATGAGCTGCCAGAGGAAGTGGTGGAGGCTGGTACAATTACATTTAAAAGGCAACTGGATGGGTATATGAATAGGAAAGGATTACAGAGATATGGGCCAAATGCTGACAAATGGGACTAGATTAGTTTAGGATATCTGGTTGGCATGGACTGGTTAAACTGAAGGGTCTGTTTCCATGCTATACAGCTCTATAACTCTATGACTCTATGTCCAATCCTCTGGTATCTTGCCTGTATCTAGTCAGGATTCAAAGATGATAATCAAAGTATTTGCTATTTCTTCCCAGGACTCTGGTGATTTATCCACCTTTGAGGAGGTCTGTCCCTCCAGTACTTACTTTCTCAATTTTGATTTTATCAAATATTTCACACTCCTCTTCAACTAGAAAGTCTGCATTAACCCTATCCTTTGTAAACCCAGAGACGAAGTACTCATTAAGAACGCTGCTCACACCTTTACATCCACAAACCCGATAGATCCAACCCTTAATCATCTTCTAACTCTTAACATACTGAGAAAAACATTTTGCTTTATCTTATCTGTATGCCTCTGGATAACCATGGGCATCTGGATTTAGCAATACCAACTTTTTTTTCTTTGTGAGAATGTTTTCCATGGATTTGTATCAAGTACTGTAACATGTTCACTTTTGTCAGCTTTGCAAAGTTTGCCTTCCCCAATTTACCTTTTACTGTTGCGCTAGCTTTGTCATTTCCACAATTATGCTAAATCTAACTGTATTGTGATCACCTATTGCTACTTTATTCACCTACTCAGCTTCAATTCCTAAGATTAAAAATGTAGAATCACCCCCTCTCTTATGTGCTGGCTAAAAACGTCTTCTTGATGCAGTTCATATTATTTGTTGTTTTTGCACTCAACAACCCTACATTAATATTTTTTTTCAGTCCAAAATACAGCCATTCACAACTAGACTCTGTTTCCTGACACTTAACCAATTTCCAATCTATGAAGGAATAGACACTTTTGGGCCATGCACTCTAAATTGCCACATTGTCTGAGACTTTATCAAATATCTTTTGGAAATCCATGTACATCACGTTATCCTAATTAACCTTCGCTGTTGCCTCAAATAACTGACAAGTTTATGAAACATGATTTGGTTTTAACAAATCCATGCTAGCTTTCCTTAATTAATCCACAGTTACACAAGTGAGTCTTAACTTTCTCCTAAATTTTGAGGCATTAGGATGCCTACCAGTGGATTTGAAGATGGGGTATTTTGGAAAAGTTCCTGGTGATCTTCCCACCACCCCCTGACCTCTGAGGATGACTGTACCAAGCCTTCAGACAAATCATTGACAAGGCTGCATCCTGACCACTCACCCCACCAAAGTGGGAATGTTAGGCTTAAGGGATTGTGGGACCACAATCTGTCAAGGACCTCATCGCAACAGTTCTGCAGCTGGCCAAGGATGAAACACTCCAGGTTCGTGTCATCTAGAGGACTTCCAGAGACCAGCTAACTGGTCAGGCCCAGACATGAGAGGACCCTGTAGTGTCAGCAATCAGGGACCTCAACCAAATGCACGGGAACGGACAGGAGCAGCAGACAGGTGCCCAGAAGCTGCAGCAATGCAGCGAATCATGCTAATTGTTGGTTGCTATGTAGCCACGAATGACATTGTTTGAATGTCAGGCATTACTTCATGGCCACAGACAATGCTCCATGATTGGTGGTTTGTGCTCAGAGCCTGCAACTTCATTTTGAAGTGAAAGGAACAAGATGTATATCTGATATTAGGTCAAACTAATTCCTTTGGCCCCCCCTTGTACAACAACCCCTTTCTTTTGTACCTGTGTCCAAAAATTTAGCTGTCAGTCAGTTGTTCAGTAATGTTTCTGGAAAGGAAGTGCAATCCCTGGCAAATGAGGTTATCATACCTAGTATGGTCATTCACTGCTCAAACTTGAAGCCAGGGTGCTGTGGATGAACTCTGATCTCCTGCATGAATCATTCATGCTTTATCATAAGTGTTCCCCTTGCAAATATTATTGGCCCCCTTCACAAGTGTCATTTGTGCCCCCTCCCCACGTCTATAGTCGCACAGTCCATTATGTCTAACTTACTGGGTTAAATTCCCCTGGCAACAGCCCTCCTTGCAATCCACTCTGTCTGACCTCCTCAACACTTTTGCCTGAGGTTAGGCAGACAGAGCCGATGGACTGACTGTGGCTTATCCCCTTGACCAATTTAATTGGATGAGAATTTGTCAAACTGCTAACTGTACATTTGCCCGACCACGTTTGACCTATGCCCTTCCACCCCAGGCTGGTCATGACAGAGCCACTGGACTGAGCATGGTCCACTCCCTGGATTGCCAAATACACAGAACCCTTGACCAAGAACTGTCTGACCGAATGTTGGACTGTGGCAAATCCCTTGGAGTGATATCAAAGACTGATCTTGACTTACTTTTCCGGAACTCTGTTTGATTCTCCTATGATTTTGGGACATAGCTGCTTTGCTTACTGCATATGCAAAGTATTTGCATGATCCTCGGATAGCACCTTCCACACCCATGACCACTTCCATCTAGAGGGACAAGGGCATCAGGCATTTGGGAACACCACCACCTCCAAGTTCCCCTCCAAATCACTCACCATCCTGATTTGGAAATATATCGCCATTCCTTCACTGTCGCTGGGTCAAAATCCTGGAATTCCCTCCCTATTAGCATTGTGGATCAACCCACAGCAGAAGGACTGCAGCGGTTCAAGAAGGCAGCTCACCACCAGCTCTTAAGGACAACTAGGGATGGGCAAGAAATGCTGGCCGACCAGCCAGCGACGCCCACATCCCATAAATGAATAGAAAAAAGGTGTGTGGAGCCGTTGGGAAATTAACATTGCACACTGCCATACTGCAAGATCTCCAACCTCTTGATGGAGGACTGCTGACTAACAAGGCAAGCTGCATGCTTGTGTAACCATGCTAATTGGCAAGGTAGGGATGGCTGCAAAATGCAGGTTGGCACTGAACGAGCAAGCGCTAAAACAGTCATGCCTGGTTCAATCATGAGCTGGACGACTCTCCATAAGTGCAAAATGTCCCTGTTCCCATCCCCCACCATCTCGTGGGTTGAATGTCCTTTCCCTTCCCTACCCCCATCTGTCTCTGTCTCCTTCTCCTGTCGCCAACCACCATTTCTTCCTCTCCAGTGCCTGTCTTCTCCTCGATCCTGGCCTCCGAACCAGTCTCCTCCTCCCCTCCCTGCTGCCCTCTCCTCCTTCCACCCTCCCCGCACCCTTGTCTCTTCCTCTTCCTCTTCCCCCCCGCCTTGTCTCCTCCTCTCTGACCTTCACTCCGTCGTCTCTTCTCACACCACCAACCCCTCACCGTTTCCTCCATTTGTCACCGACACCCCCAACTCTCGTTTCCTTCTCTCATCACGACCCCCGCCGTCTCCTCCGTACCAGCCCACAAAACCTCTGTCTCTTAGGCCGCATCTCCCTCAACCCATTTAATCTCAAATGTCAATATACTGGACTTGTTCTGGAGTCAGTATATGCAGCCTTTAAATTCTTTTGACTCATCCTCTATTGCTGATAAAATCTTGGTGAACCACTATCTGTGTGAACTATTCAATGTCTGTCTATTCACATTCTTCTGTTACATATCAGTCTATATTTGAATATGATTGTCGGACCATAAGTTAACCAATACTTGTTTGTTGATCAGTCTTTAGCATCCATTTAGTGTATCAGTTTACAGCTCATTACATACCGCATACTCTTTTCGTTAGTCACGCCCCTTAACATTTACTTCCGGCTAGAGTTTCCTGACACCTCTTCCGGCAGAGAAGGTTTTTTTCTTTGGTGTCGATCCCCGGATGTGCAGCTGTTCTCGGTGAGTGCGATCCGCGGCGCATTGGTGAGGGAAATGGGATAGTGATTCTTTGATTCGGGTTCGCTATTGCGGCTGCAGTGAAGCCTTGTTTTATTGTCAGGCCCCGGTCATGGAGCTACATCAAAAAGTTTGTCATCAAACACGGTCAGCCATTAAACGGTATCATATCCCGCCATCCCCTACCCCCGGCTGATCATTAGCCTCCATCAACATCCCCCTCTCTGGATACGACCGATCACTGACTGTCAGCAACACGTACCAGATCTTCCAGATACTGCATTAATCGATATCAACGCTCAAGCAGCCCCCAACCCAATGAGTCCCAATCAACTCTTCCATCCCACTTCGCACGGCCGGTCACTAAACGCCACACCCGCCCCAATCCGGCCATGACCAGTCACTCCCTGCGCCTCTGTCCTGGTCACGAAGATCGGTCAAGATCATAATAAATGGCGGAGCAAGGTCGAAGGGGCCGAATAGCCTACTCCTATTTTCTATGTTTCTATAAACACCCTGCCTCTTAAGTTTGTCTGTCAACAACTCCGCCTTCTCCCGTTGCCATAGCCAATCACTCATTAACTCCTGAAAGCCTGGACAAGGTCGATCACTGACCCCTTGCTGTGATTAGTCCCTAACCCTGATCAGCCACTTTCATCCACCCCCAACTCTGGACACGGCCAGTCATTGACTCCCAACACCTTGTCCTGTCCCTATACTCCAGCAATTGGTCATGGCCAGAGACTAATCCCCATCAAACCATTTCCATCCTGAACATAGCCAGTTACTGACCCCCTTCAATTTCCCTGAACTCGTCAGTCGCTACCCCCCAACAGCCCTACCACCCATCCCCCTCCCCGGCATGGCTTGTCACTGACCCCTATGAACTCTCCAAACCCCAGAAATGGCTGGCCACTGACTCCATCAACCCAGAAATGGCTGGCCATTGACTCCATCAACCAGATTCTATTGTTCACTAATTCACATGAATACCACTCTGTCCTTTCCCAGACCTGGCCGTCACTGACCCTCCCCCTCCCCTGGACAGAGCCAGTCACAGACCTGCATCTATTACTCACTCTAAATTCAGCACTCAGTTTCCATCATCCCCCATCCCTGTCTCGATTTGGTCTCTGCACCACCTCCTTCCCCCCTGATATGACTGGTGTACGTCAACTCAATCCCATAGGTGTAACCAGTCCCTTATGAACTCCTCCTCCCCTGACGTGGCCAGTCACTAACCCACAACATCACACTGTCTACTTCCCATTGACCAACGTCAACTTTGGACACACAACCCCCCCAACCAGTGTCTGGTCACTCACTCCCAATCAACCCACCAGCTTCCCCGGACAGTGACAGCAACTAACCTATATCAATTTGCTTATCCTGCCCTCCAAAAGAGCTGTCCGTGAGCCTGTATCAACTCCAGCCCCTGCCACCTTCCCTGGCATAGCAGTCATTAACACAAATCCTGTACGCCCACACCAGATTTGGTTGTTAACTGACATGTGAACAATGCCCTGCTTACCCCTAGACATGGTTGGTCATTGAAAAGTCTCAAACACCATCCCCATCACAGTTGTTCATTGAACTGCATCAACTCCTATCCCCCAATACAGATAAGCATTGACCCCCATCAACACCTCCACCACTTCCAGACATGACCAGCCATTGACCTCAAGCGCACTCCCCTCAATGACATGGCCAGCCACACACAAATTGCCTAACCCCCAACACCTACAGATGTGGCTGATCACTGACCCTCATCCAGTCACCCATGCCCTAGACACACCTGGTCACTGATCCTCATCAACATCCCACACTCACCAGGTATGGCTAGTCTCTGACTCATATCAACTCTCCACCCCTTCTAACACACAACTGGATGCTAGCCCACGTGATCACTACCCCTCCCCTTGACATGACCAGTCACTAAGTTGCATTAATTCCCAGCACCTGGACACAACCAATTACTGACCTGCAAACACCCCCTTGCCCCAGTCATGGTTGGGCTCTGACCCATATAACTCCCCACCCACTCCCTGACAGGTTTGGTTACTGACCCCCACCCACTTGCCCTTCCCTGGACATGTGGTCTCAATGCAATCAACATCCCCTCCCATGGACATACCTAATCACATCCCATCAACTCCCTACATCACAGGAGACGGTTAGTCACTGACCCCCATTAAATCCTCAGCTCCTGGACTCGGCCAGTTACTAATCTCCCAAAATCTACCCCCTCCCACAATATGACCAATCAGTAACCCACGCAAAACCATTTCCTCCCACTCCCTGCACCTCCAACCTCTTCCAGGCATAGCTGGCCACTGGCCCTCTTCAACCCCCTCCCCGAATATGGCCAGTTAGTGATACCCATTGCATCTTTGCAACTCCCTTGTCACCATATACGCTGATCACTGACACCTATAAATTCACCATCCCAACCCCCTCTTCCTGATAAGGCTGACCATAGAACTCCCATCAAACCTCCTGTCACCCAAAAATGGCAGTTACTCACCTCCACAACCCCCACCAGTTATGGCTGGTCACTGACTCACATCAAATCCCCACCCACTGCCCCAGATATGGGTGGCCCCCAGCAACTTGTCCTTCCATGGACACAGATGGTCACTGACCATCGTTTACCTTTTTGATGAGGTATCAGAGAAGGTTAATGTTGGTGTCATGTGGCGGATATGGCTTTACAAAAGGCATTTGATAAGGTGTCACACAACAGGCTTGTGAGAAAGATTAATGCTCATAGAATACAAGAGATAGTGCATCCAACCTGAGAAACTCCAGTGATGTTCTTGTACAGAGCAAATTGATCTCCAATAACCAGCTATCATGTTTCTTTGTGCTACATATGACTCCAACCAGTGGAGGTTTTCCCTGATTCTTTTGACTTAAGTTTTGCTAGAGTCCTTTACTGCCATAGTTGATAAAATGCTGCCTTGATGTCAAGAGCAGTCATTGTCAACGCCTCTGGAGTTCAACTTGTTTGTCCATGTTAGGAGAAGACTGCAATAAGGTCAGGAGCAACATTTCCTCTTGGTGATCAGCATGCCAATGTTGCTTACAGTATCAACTTCTACTTCCAGAATTTGCTGCTACAGAAGGACCATGGAGGTCCATGCAGAAGTAAGAATGCTGGTTAGGAGCTTGGGTGACTTTGGCAAAACTCAAAATGAGTGTTACAGGGCAGCTTGTTGCTGAGTGAGTGTTCTTGATAGCACTGTTGACAACACCTTCCATCACTTTGATGACCAAGAAGATATGATAGTGCAGCCATTGGCCTAGTTAGATTTTGTCCTGCTTTTTGTGTACAAAAGAAGTACTCTAGCAAATTTTTACACTGCTGCATCAATGCTAGTGTGTAGCTATACTGGAACAGCTTTTGCTTGGAATGCCATTTCTACATTCAATTTGGTATACTGAATCCCAGCTCCTTAAGTGGAGCTGCATTCATCCAAGGGGAGTGGACTGAATTCCATCCCACTCACAAAGACTCTTTGTGGCTGTGATCAAATGCTGTCTGGGTGACTACTTTCCAGAACATGTCCATTAAGCTCCTGAGCATGACCTTGACCTCCTAGTTGCTTGTAAGTTCAATTCTCCACCTGTCTTCCACTCTTTCCTTGGTTCGTTCTTTGGCCTCCAGCATTGGTAATGAAACAAAATGCACCTCATTTTTTTACAGCACATTGTGTAGTCTTTTGGTCTCAACATTTTAATTTGTAATATCTGCCATTATACTATTCATTTTCCTGGATGGTTTGGTTTAGCTCTCTATTTTCTTTACTTTGCATTTGGATCCCAGCTTTCACGATCACTCGCACCTTTAGATTCAGGTTGCAGACTTGTTGCCGAGCCAGTGTGTTTAATTGCAGGCATTTCATCACCCTGGTAGGTAACATTGCCAGTGTGCCTCCAGTGAAGTGTTGGTGTTTTGTCCCGCTTGTTATTTATATGCCTCAGTTCTTGGGTATTACTTCCAGCTCTGTTTTTCAGTGGTTTGTATATCGGGTCCAGTTCACTGTGTTTGTTAACGATGTTCCGGTTGGAATGCCAGGCCTCCAGGAATTCAGAGACATGCCAAGGAATTCTATTATTAAGCCTTTTTGTTTTGTGACATGTAACATCTAACTTGATTGGTTTTTTGAAGTGACAAAGAGCATTGATTAAGGGTAGTATTGGAGAGCTGCTTTTCAGACTGCAGGCCTGTGACCAGCGGTGTGCCACAAGGATCAGTGCCTGGTCCACTGCTTTTTGTCATTTATATAAATGATTTGGATGTAAATATAGGAGATGTGGTTGGTAAGTTTGTAGATGACACCAAAATTGTTGGCGCAGTGGACAGTGCAGATTACCTCACAGTACGACCTTGATCAGATGGGCTGAGGAGTGGCAGTTGGAACTTAATTTAGATAAATGTGAGGTGCTGTATTTTGGAAAGGCAAATCAGGGTGGTCCTGGGGAGTGTTGCTGAACAAAGAGACCTTGGAATGCAGGTTCATAGTTCTTTGGAAGTTGAATCACAGGTAGTCAGGGGAGCGAAGAAGACATTTGGTATGCTTGCCCTTATTGGTCAGTGCATTGAGTATAGGAGCTGGGAGGTCATGTTGCGGTTGCACAGGACATTGGTTAGGCCACCTTTGGAATACTGCATTCAATTCTGGTCTCCCTGCTATAGGGAGGATGTTGTGAAATTTGAAAGGGTTCAAAAAACATTTGCAAAGATATTGCCAGGTTTGGAGGGTTTGAGCTATGGGGAGAGGCTGAATAGGCTGAGACTGTTTTCCCTGGAGGGTCAGAGGCTGAGGGATGACCTTTATGGAAGTTTATAAAATCATGAGGGACATTGATAGGATGAATAGTCAAAGTGTTTCCCCTTGAATAGGGGATTGCAAAGCTAGAGGGCATAGGTGTAAGGTGAGAAGGGAAAGTTTAAAAGGGATCTAAGGAGCAACTTTTTCAAATAGAGGGTGATGTGTGTGTGGAATGAACTGCCAGCAGAAATGGTGGAAGCTGGTACAATTACAATATTTAAAAGGCATTTGGATGGGTAAATGAATAGGAAGGCTTTAGAGGGATTTGGGCCAAATGCTGGCAAATAGGACTAGATTAATTTAGGATTTCTGGTCGGCATGGACGAGTTGGGCCAAAGAGTCTGTTTACATGCTGTACATCTCCTTGACTCTATGTTCATTTTCAGGGAAAAAGAATTTCTTTTGGTGTTGCACCTTCTCAATTAAATAAAAGCTTGGGAGACACTGTTCCTTGATGAATTCCTGTGGCATGTCTCAACCAATCAGAGTTGACTTGCGATTTTTAATAGTTTAAACAAAATCTTTTGGAGCAACTGTTCCTTGATGCTTTCTCTATGGCAATGCCTTGACCAATCAAAGTCCGAATGTAAGTCAGTCTTCACCCTGTTTCTCATCAGTAGAAATTGTTCCCTTTGAATTCTTGTCATCCTACAAGATGAAAAGCTTCAACACCATTTTCTGTCTCTCAACAATATGAACATAAATAACCATAAAATAATACAAATAATTTTTGGTGATACTTTTGAATTGTTACAATCAACAACAATCCAGATTTTCACAAGTAGATACAAAATTGGCCTATTTTAGATCATCCATGTGCAAACAAACTATAGTCACCCTGCCATCACTGACTTGGTGTTTTCGCAAGTAGTTCTGTGTTTTCACCTCAGTCGTGTTCATTCCATGTACTGTAGTGATTGCTCTTAGTACCAAAGAAAACTTCCTGATATTAGTTAGTTCTTTTACCTCTTTTAACTTTACTCTCCCCTGTCCTTGTGTAGTTTGAATGCAATAATTTTACATATATATCTTTTAATTACTGTTAGCATCTTATATACTTTACCCTTGAAAATTAATTCTATTGAAGAGCCACTGTTTTTCAAGCGTATCCCCATATTGCAAATTTGTAACTTTAGGATTGTGACTCCATCCTTGACTGTCTCCAGAGCACTAGTGAACAGAACAGGACAGAATCCTGTGAGAGTTGATGAGAGTTCTAAACATAAAGCCTACTTCTCTGCAACTGCCTTTAGGCCATATATTTCACTATTTGTTTTTTCCTTTTGGACTAGCTGAATGTGCTGATGTAAGATACTGTACGCATTTTCGAAAAAGTTGCAAAGTTGGGTTTAGTCATTGTATGATTCAAGTCTTGCTCTAGTGGTGGCCTTTGACATGTGATGTGTTCATGCCCTATTCCAAAGATTTGAGTGGACAGTACAGTTGCTACATTATTGGCAGCGCCATCTTTCAGATGCACTGTGTTTTCTCAAATTGCTCAAAGATTCACTGCACCATTAGCCGTCAGGCTGATCTAAAAGATTCCATTGTGTTATTTAAAAGATTAGAGAAAATAATCCAGTGCCCTGACTCTTACATCAGTGGTAGGGAAACTGTTGGAGAAAATAGTGAAGGAGAAAACTAATCTCCGTTTAGAGAGGCAAGGCTTGATCAGGGATAGTAAGCATAGTTTTGCCTAACAAATCAGGTGGAATTTTTTGAAAAGGTGACCAAATGTGTAGATGAGGGTAGGACAGTTAATGTAGTCTACATGAATTTCAGCAAGTTCTTTGACAAGATCCCACATGGGAAACTGATTAAAGAATGTCAAGGGATCCAGAGTAACTTGGCAAGGAGGATCCAAAATTGGCTTAGTGATCGGAAACAGAGGATGGTGGTGGAAGGCTGTTTGTGTGACTGGAGCCTGGTGTGCAGTTGCGTACCACAGGCATCAGTGCTGGGTTCGTTAATGATGTAGAAGAGAATGTTGGGGTGATGATGTTTTCTTTGGGGGTGGAAATGGTGATCGTGTGAAGGAGGGGAGGAGATGATAACTTTTGCAGATGACACAAAGATTGACCAAGTGGTTGACAGTGAGGAGTCTTAGTTTATAGGAGGATTTAAATGGATTGGTCACATGATCAGATCAGTACAGATGAAATTTAACCCTGTTAACTGTGAGGTGATGCACTTTGGAAGAAGTAACTAGACAAAGGAGCAGTCATTGAATGGCAGGACACTAGAAAGGTCAGGAATAGGGGATCTTAGGGTGCGTGTCCTTAGAACCCTGAAGGTGGCAGGACAGGTAAATGAAATAGTTAAGAAGGCATATGGGATGCTTGTCTTTATCAGTCAAGGCTCAGATTATAAGAACAGGGAAGTTATGTTGAGCTGTATGGAACTTTGGTTAGGCCATAGCTGGGATGCTGTGTGCTGTCTGGTCAACACAGTATAGGAAGAATGTGATTTCTCTGGCAGGGGTGCAGAGACGATTCATAAGGATGTTGCATTTCAGCTATGAAGAGAAGGTGGATAAGCTCAGGCTCTTTTCTTTGGAGCAGAGAAGATTGGGGGGTACCTGTCAGAGGTGTATAGGGTTGAGAGGCAAGGATAAGACGAAAGCAGCTGTTCTCCTTAATCAAAAGGATCAAGAACGGGGGTGGGGGGATGAAGCTTTTAAAGTAAAAGGCAAGAGGTTTAGAGGGGATTTATGGTAAAGCTTTTTCACCCGGGGTGGTGGGATATAGGATGCACTGCCTAGGACGTTAGTTGAGGTGGATAATCTCTCAACCTTTAAAAAGTACTTTCATGAACACTTAAAGTGTCACAACATTCCAGGCTATAGGCCTAGTGTGGGGAAATTGGGACAAGTGTAGTTAGTAGACCCAATAGGCTGAAGGGCCCCTTCTGTACAATATGATTCTACAACCAATATTATCCCTCAGGCACCGTAATTGGAACAGATTGTAATGTCATTAACTCTTAACTCTCTTTGAAATGGCAGGATCTGTCTGTGTTTTAGTTATAATTATTAGAAAAGAGCAATATGATTTAGTCTTTCTTCAGGACCAATGCCCTTGATAATGACCACGGAGTACTGGATAATCTACACCTCACCTGTATGATACAGGAGTTGTACATTATCATAATTTCTGCCTCTTTCAAAAGCTTTGCAAAGCCGAGTCAACTTGAAACAGTGAGTGAAATCCAAGCATAAATTTATTGCTTTTCTATTTCTTTATGCATGTTATAGAGTTGATAGTGATCTCATTTCATAATTTACTCTGATGATCATCTCCCATCTCTAGGATAGTGATGATGCACAGGATCATTCTGATAGAGGGGTAAGGGAAGACTGTTTGGTCCAGGTAAGCCTGCTGTTTCAATTGTTCTCTTCTTGGCTTCTCACCATATCCTCAGTTCTTGCTTTATAGATGTGGCATCATGAATAAATTGAGTTGATATTATTTTCTTGTGTCGTTTTTCATAAAGCCGTGATGAGCAAAACTGCTTGTCTTCCCCTCGTATTCCTAACTCCTTCCTTAATCTTTCCCTACTCAAAACATATACAGTTAGTTTAGTCCAATGTATTTCCTCAATATTCTACAACCAAGCTTCTGTGCCTGAGCTATGGTAACTATAGATCAATAACATTGTCAGACTTGCATGTGTTGTTGATTCAGAGCATATCACGGCACTGAGTTAGTGGTTGATGTGGGTACATTTACAATATTTAAAAGACATTTGGAACAGTACATGAATAGGAAAGGTTTGGACCGATATGGGCCAGGAGCAGGCAGGTGATATTCGTTTAGTCTGGGATTATGTTCAGCATGGACTAGTTGGACTGAAAGGTCTGCTTCCATGCTGTATGACTCTAAGACACATTGGTTTGCCCCCAAGTGAAGTATTATGTCCACTTTTTGGTATTATGATCTGGAAAGGATGTGAAGGCATCAGACAGCATGTACAAAAGATCTGTGGGAATGCTTTTAGCAATGAGGAACTTTAGTTATGTAGGAGGATTCTCTAATCTAATAAAGTATGACTTTTTCTTGGAGATGAGAAAATTGAGAGGAAACATTTAAAATCATTAAGGATCTGGACAGAGTAGATGGGGGAAGCTCTGTTCCCATTGGTGGCAGGGTTGAGGAGCAGAAGACAAGTTTATGGTCATTGACAAAAACTGCAATTTTGACATTTTTATGCAGTGAGTGGTTGGAATCTGGAATACATAGCCTGTGAATGTGGTGAACGGCAGAGTCAATTCAGGCTTTCAAAATGGAATTAGTTCATTATCTGGTCTTTACCCCAATGAGGCAAAAAGCAGCACTTGTGACACCAGGTGTATTTCTTCTTCAGAATGGACTGAATGACCTGTCATGTATCCTTTTTGTCCTACTATTTAACACTTTCCTTTTATTCTTCATTCTGCCTCTTTTATTCTCTTTCATAATCTACAGAATGTAAGTCTTGAGCTATACTTGGCTTGATTTTTTTGCAGCTGTAGTCGCTGTTTTCGCAATCATTTAATTTTATGCAACATTTCAGTGCAAAATTGGCTATTCTAGCAAGTTTTAAAATCTTCCAACACTCTGTGCTGTATTGTTTAGCAGATATTAGTGAGAGATGCCAAGTCTCAGGATTACAGATGTTTTTCTGGAGAGACCTTGCTAGATTATTAATCCAGAGACCAAGGCAATGTTTTGAGGATCCAAGTTCGAACCCTACCATGGTAAATAGCGTAGTTTGAATTCAGTAAAAATCTGATATTAAGTGTCTAATGATGACCGTGAAACCATTGTCAATTGTTGAAAAAACCCATCTGGATCACAAATGTCCTTTAGGAAAAGGAACTGCCATCTGGAGCCAGATCAAGTGACTCCAGACCCACAGCAATATGGTTGACTCTTAACTGCCCCCTGAGTAATTAGGAATTGGCAATAAATGCTGGACTAGCCAGTGATCCCGTAAAATAATTAAAACAATTGGTGCCATTCTCCATACTTATTTTAAATTTACCAACTGAAGTGGTTTACTGGCCATTTAATTGCAGCAGACTGATTGGATTGTATTTCAAGGCTTCTACAGTTTTGGTTAGGAAAAATAACAATGTTTTCCTTTATCGTGAGGAGAATTGAATACAAAAATAAGGAGGTTATGTTTCAGTTACACAGGACACTGGTAAAACATGTCTGGAGCACTATACACCATATTGGTCACCTTATTTAAAGCAGAATGTAAGGGCATTGAAAACAATTCAGAGAAAGTTTACCAAACTAATATTTGGGATGAATGAGTTGTCTTAAAAGGAATAGTTGAACTGGCAAGGTTTATAGCTGCTGGAACAAAGAACAAAGAAAATTACAGCACAGGAACAGGCCCTCGGCCCTCCAAGCCTGCACCGATCCAGATCCTCTATCTAAACCTGTCGCCTATTTTTCAAGGAACTGTATCCCTCTGCTGCTTGCCCATTCATGTATCTGCCTAGATACATCTTAAATGACGCTATCGCGCCTGCCTCTACCACGTCCACTGGCAACGCGTTCCAGGCACCCACCACCCTCTGCGTAAAGAACTTTCCACACATATCTCCCTTAAACTTTTCCCCTCTCACCTTGAAATCGTGACCCTGAGTAATTGAGTCCCCCACTCTGGGAAAAAGCTTCTTGCTATCCACCCTGTCTGTACTTCTCATGATTTTGTAGACCTCAATCAGGTCTCCCCCAACCTCCGTCTTTCTAATGTAAATAATCCTGATCTACTCAACCTCTTTTCATAGCTAGCGCCCTCCATACCAGGCAACATCCTGGTGAACCTCCTCTGCACCCTTTCCAAAGCATCCACATCCGTTTGGTAATGTGGCAACCAGAACTGTATGCAGTATTCCAAATGTGGTCGAACCAAAGTCCTCTACAACTGCAACATGATCTGCCAACTCTTGTACTCAATACCCCATCCGATGAATGAAAGCATGCCGTATGCCTTCTTGACCACTCTATCGACCTGCGTTGCCACCTTCAGGGTACAATGGACCTGAACACCCAGATCTCTCTGTGCATCAATTTTCCCCAGGGCTTTTCCATTTACCGTATAGTTCGCTCTTGAATTGGATCTTCCAAAATGCATCACCTTGCATTTGCCTGGATTGAACTCCATCTGCCATTTCTCCACCCAACTCTCCAATCCATCTATATTCTGCTGCAATCTCCGACAGTCCCCTTCACTATCTGCTACTCCACCAATCTTAGTGTCACCTGCAAACTTGCTAATCAGACCATCTATACCTTCCTCCAGATCATTTATGTATATCACAAACAACAGTGGTCCCAACACGGCTCCCTGTGGAACACCACTGGTCACAGTTCTCCATTTTGAGAAACTCCCTTCCACTACAACTCTCTGTCTCCTGTTGCCCAGCCAGTTCTCTATCCGTCTAGCTAGTACACCCTGGACCCCGTGCAACTTCACTTTCTCCATCAGCCTACCATGGGGAACCTTATCAAGCGCCTTACTGAAGTCCATGTATATGACATCTACAGCCCTTCCCTCATCTATCAACTTTGTCATTTCCTCAAATAATTCTATCAAGTTGGTAAGACATGACCTTCCCTGCACAAAACCCACGCTGCCTATCACTAGTAAGCCCGTTTTCTTCCAAATGTAAATAGATCCTATCCCTCAGTATCTTCTCCAGCAGTTTCCCACCACTGATGTCAGGCTCACCGGTCTATAATTACCTGGAGTGTAGAAGTATAAACAACGACTTGGTTGAAGCATAAGATTCTGAGTAGTCTTGACAGGTTAGATGTAGGAGGATGTTTCCTCCTATGGGAGAATCAAGAACTAGGGGTATAAAAAATAAGGGGTAACACATTAACAGAGATTGGGTGATTTTTTTTTCCTCAATCGGTCATGAGTCTTGAAATGTGGTCGAAGCAGAGTTCTTGAATACTTTTAAGGCAGAGGTGGATAGGTTCTTGATAAGTGGGGGAAGGTGGTGAAGTTATCAGCGGCAGATGGGAATGCAGGTTTGAGGTTATAATCAAACTAACCATGATTTAATTGAATGGCAGAAAGGCTCAAGAGGTTGAATGACCAACTCCTGCTCCTTGTACATTTTAAGAAGCAGTGGTCACCATGAGTTTTATTTAGTAGGAAGATGGCTGAAGACCCACAGAGAAACTTCCGTTCCCACTATTATGAAAAAGTTGGATTTCGTGGTGTTGAAGAAAAGAAATCCCTTGAGATTCTGCTGAAGGATGATCCATTAGGTAAGCCTGGAGTGTTTACATGATTCACTATAATACTGTTAACTCAGGTAATAATTGAAAAATTCATCTGAAATTGCTGGTTGTAAGATGTTGGTGCTCCTAAATCTGACCCAAATGATCAAATGTAGATTTCACTTTCGAAGATTGAAGGAAGAAAGAATTTAAAACCTTTGTGTAAATTTAAACTTGTTGACCTGCATAAACATTTGTAATAACCATTTTGCATCATTCCCTTAGTATATAAGAATTTTTTAAACGATATGTACATTTGATAAATCATTAGTATGACAAAGAGTTGAGACTACTTGGTTCCCCCTTAGGACATCAAAGTCTTGATTTTAATTTTACTGATGTGTCATAAGATGGACAGAAGGTGATCCAATATATTGTTATTAAAACTGCACATTATGGCTATTTTAATGACACATCTGGTGGTGCTATACCATTCTTTGTAGTACCGTTGGGTTTCTGATGGATCACATTAGCTAGATTTGTAGTTCTTGTTGGTCAACAGCCACTCTGTACATCTGCTTCCAAGTCCAATGAATTAAAAATAACTGTCTTTGATTGCAAACTGGCTGGTTGCCAATGATGCCTTTCGCCCAGGCAATGCCAGCCTGATCTGGAAAGCTGAGCACCTGCTCATTCTGAATGACATCATTGGTGGCAAAATTCACATTATTGTTAGTTCTAGCAAATGACCAATCAGTCAACTATCTTGTGCATTTGTGGGATAAGCTTGGAGATCCTTGCAAGTCTGCAGGGGAAAGATCCAGACATGAAAATATTCACAGTGGTGGGACTTTGACTGGCAGGCAGAAGGTTTTCTTCAAGGAACCTGCAGAAATGTTCTTCCACCTGACTTGATGTCCTGAGACACTGGTGTTCAGAAATGTTTCATGGTTAGGGCTGTTCCTGAGGTTCCCTCTCCCCTGTGCAACTGCAGGTTTGTGAGCGTATACTACTTCTGCACCTGCTGTTTCTGCTGCTCATGCAGGTGGTCATCATCTTCTGTCTTTGAGGTCCAATCTAAGATAGCAAAGCAAAAACCAACATGATAATCCAGCAGGTATGAAACTAGCTGAGAATTTTACAGAATTGCAGAAGTGTTGGGGCACAAAAGGAGTCTATTTAGACTGCTGTGCCTGCACTGGCTCATTAAAAGAACCTTATTGCATAGTGCCAATTTGTTTTCTTTCAATATCCTTGCATGTTATTTTTATCCAACTAATCACCAGTGCCCTCATGAATGTCTTGGTTGACAATAATCACCAGTGCTCGTATGAATGATTCAGTTGAGGCTAACTCAACCACACTTCTAGGCTGTGCATTGCATACCTTAACTACTCGCTGAGTGAAAAGGTGTTTCTTCACTTCGTCCTTCTTTTGCAGATCCCTTTAAATCTGTGTCCTTTTGTTCTGTTTCTTTTATGTATCTGCTGCTCTTGACTTTCTAGATGGAATGAACTGTAGTTTATAAGATGCTATTTAAGGAGCCTTGATGATTTTCTGCAGTGCACCACATGGATACATTCAGCCTCCAATCTTTGGCTAAGCATTCTCCAAAATAGCCTTCGGGATATGCAACAACATAGAATCACCAAGCAGAAACTGATAGCCAAGTTCCTTACCCATGAAGACAGCCTCAACCGTAATCTTGGGTTCATGTCGTGCTACATGTAACCCCACCATGCTGTTCTGTATTTGTAAAATCTTCCTTATTATCCTGTTTTGACACCATCACCTTCATAACTTGTTATGATCTCTCTACCTTAGTTTGTACAGTTTTGGATTACTTGTCACTTTGGTTAAAGCCTCGGCATGCAACTCGTATACCAATCATGTTACTCCAGCCATTTGGTTTGTCTCCAGCAGCACCTTATTTTTAATTTTTTGTCATTATCTCTCTGCCTCAATTAATTGGATCATGGGTCGTCCCTTCACTGGCTATTCAGCTGTTGACACTTTAATTACACTGTCTGACACCTTTGATCACCTGCAGAGACTTGTTATTCAGCCTATCGATACTCCACTCACGCCATTTATACGATCTTTCGATTTCTCTGCCTATAAATTCTGTGCCTGTGTGCTTCCCTTCACTTCACCAGATGAAGGAGCAGCGCTTTGAAAGTTTGTGATTTCAAATAAACCTGTTGGACTATAACCTGGTGTCATCTTACTTCTGACCTTGCTCCCCCCACATCCAACACTGGACCGGTTTACATGCACACCAAAGTCATTCTGATCCTCGGTGCTTTTTGTCCTGTCCAAGCGGACCACCTCTCACTTATCTGGATTGAATTCCATTTGCCACTGACCATCTGACCAATCTGTTTATACCTTGTAACCTAAGGCTATCCTGCTCACAATTTACCATCCCACCAATTTTCATCAACCCTCCTACATTCAAATCTAAATGATACATAAATACCACAAACAACAAGGGCCCCAGTGCCGATACCCGCAGCACCCCATAGTAGACAAGCTTCCAGTCACGAGAACACCCGTTGACCATCACCATTTGCTTCTTGGTCATAATTAGCGAAATTTCCATTTTGTGGGTTGTAACCTTCACTATCAGTGTCCAATGCAGGACCTTATCAAAAGTCTTACAGAAGTCCATGCAGACTATGTCAAATGCATTGTCCTCATCTAAGCAGTTGATCATCTCCTTGGAAAATTCAATCAAGCACCTCCCCTTAGCCATGCTGACTGTTTTTGATTAATCCTTACCTCTCCAAATGCAGGCTAATTTTGTCCCTCAGAATTGCTTCCAGTAGTTTCCTTACCACTGAGGTGATACTGACTGACCTGTAATTTCCTGACTTATTCCGTGCTCCCTTCTTAAATTATGGTGCCACATTGGCTGTCCTCCAGTCCTGTGGCACTCTCTTGTGGCCAGTGCCTTTGTTATTTCCTCCCTTGCCTCATTCAATAGCCAGGAATACATTTCATCTAGACCTGGAGATTTATTTTCTTTTAAGCTTGATCGACTAGTCAGCACCTCTTCCTTGCCTATGCTGATTTTGTTAATTATCTCACAGTTCTTCTCATTAATTTCTATACCTATATTGACCCTCTCACTAGTGAACGCTGACAGAGAATATTCATTTAGAAACCTACCTATATCCTTTGGCTGCACGCACTGATTACCAGTGTAGTCCTTAACGGCCTTACTCTTTCTCTAGTTATCCTTTTATCTTTATTGCACTTGTAAAATAACTTAGGATTTTCCACCAGTATCCTTTCACGGCTCTTTCTGATGTCCTAATTTCTTTTTTAAGTTACCCCTTGCACATTATATATTGCATTAGGACTTCTGCCGTTTTAAGACCTCTACGGGTAGTTCTCCAATAATGCAATAGTTGCGTTCTTGTGTGACCTTGCACTATAGAAAATCGAGCTATTGAAAATCGCCATAGAAAATCGCATTTTCGGGAAATCGCTATAGAAGGTCGTTATACCTGTACAGCAGAAAGTTTGTGTTATCCAAACAGCGCCCACTATTCATCAATCGCGTTACGACCAATCCGCGTTAACGAAACACACGTTATCACAGAACTACCTGTATCTGCCGTAAGCCTCTCTTTTTCTGTGTCCAATTGTGTGCATCCCTCATTATCCACGCTTGCTGAATTTAGATCCCTTTCTTCATCGTCATCCGAAACAGTCTGATACAACGATTACTGTCTCTTAAATGTGCCCCGACTGTTTTACATTGATTGACATCTTCCTTGTACTCCTTTATCAGCTAGCTTCAGGAAGTTTTTTTTTATTTAACCTATTTTTCTAATCAACCTGTTCAAAGGTGTTATTACACACCTCTGTAGCAGGCAGGGCATGAACCTAGGTTTCCTGATGCAGGGGTAGGGACTCTATCACTGCACCACAAGAGAGTCCCAAATGCCAGTTCTTACAGACCCAATGCTTAAATGAAATCAGCTGTGGTTGTGGTTCTCATAGCTAGTATGCTGCAATCAAATATGGATGTCAGTAGGATGGGCCTGTCTAATCACCACCACCACCAAGTAGCCTCCTGCTGCCCCACAAAAAAAACCATACTCTTCTGGATTACAATTCAACATGAAGAGTTAGCCACATGGTGTGCAGTAGGACTTGTATGTTGACCAGTCTGGAAAGCCATGGTAGGTTTCTTTCCCTGAAAGATATTAATTAATCAGTAAGACTTTTTACTATAGTCTAAAAGCTGATTCGCTCAATGTTTCTCATTCTTTCCATGTTTTGGCTGATTTAACTGAGTTCTATAATTTGTCATGGTGAGGTTTGAGCCCTTGAGCTGTCAGTTATTAGTCTAGTAATATGACTACTGTAGCATTGTTCTCTAAAATTGAATGTGGTGGTAAAATGGTCTGTTGTCTTTTACCTCTTGTCTGGGATGGACAAATTATTGACTTAATTATGGAGCCTGTAGTGCTCTGATGTTCTAATCTTGTTCTTCAGTGAGTGAAAAATGAAATAATTTCTTATGGTTTAGGTGATATGCTGTCCTTTGTGTAAATTAGTGACCAAAACAAATTAAGCTTTGTAAACTTCATATCAATTCTGTATGATCAGTAGTTTTTTTCTTTTTGCAGATGTTGAGAAGCTCTGTACTTTTGCTCAACGTTATCCTCTTCCCTCCATGTATCGTGTTCTTGTATGGAAAGTACTGCTTGGTATGTCTAAATGATGCTATGGTTTGCATTGATAGCCTCAATTATAAGTATTATGGATAAAACCTATAATTATTTCAGGTCTTATTACATAGAGAATGCATAAATGGATCTTTTTCAGATTGGCAGGATATGATGAGTTGGGTCCCACTGGGCTCAACCTGTTAGAATTTACGACAGTGCTCAGATGATGGGATCCAAGACACGGTGGATAAATTTGCAGATGACGTAAAGGAAAGTAATGTTGTGAAACTGCCAACCAATCTATATCAGTCTGCAACCCTGTCAAGTGAATGGGCGAGAATATGGTGGATAGAGATAAAGTTGTTCACTTTGCTAGGAAGAATGAAATTGCAGTGTAATATTTAAATGGAAATTGATTGAAGCAATCCAAAGTGCCTTTGAATCTAGTTATTCTTATCCATGGCTCTCAAAAAATTGGTACGCAGATACTGTAAGTGATTAAGAAGGCTCATGAAATACCATTCTGTATTACAAGAGGGATTAGCATCAGTGTAAAGAGGTTGTGCTTTAGTTATACAGTGCATTGGTGAGACGATATCAAATACTGTGTACAGTTTTGATTCCTTATTTAGAATTGATCTAAATGAAGTGTAAGTCATTCAGACTGATGCATTCAATGAGTGGATTGTCTTATGGGGAAAATTCAGACAGGCCAGGATTGTTTCCATTAGAAAAGAACCGAAAGAACTGTGGATGCTGGAAATCAAAAATAAAAACATTTTGCTGGAAAATCTCAGCAAGTTCTTTATTCATTAATGGAATGAGAGCATCGCTGGCCAGACAGCATTTATTGCTCATCCCTAATTGCCCAGAGGGCAGTTAAGAGTCAACCGCATTGCTGTGGGTCTGGAGTCACAGGCGAGACCAGGTAAGGATGGCAGTTTCCTTCCCTAAAGGTCATTAGTGAAGCAGATAAGTTTTTCCAACAATCAACAATGGATTCATGGTTATCATTAGATTCTTAATTCCAGATATTTATTGAATTCAAATTCCGCCATCTGCCAAGGTGGGATTCAAACCTGGTTCCTCAGAATATTATCTGGGCTTCTGGATTAACAGTCCAGTGATAATACCACTAGGCCATTGCCTCTCCGTCTGGTAGCACCAGTGGAGAGCAATCGGAGTTAACATTTCAGGTCGAGTGACCCTTCGTCGGAACTGATGGTAACTACGAAAAAGTTGGTTTTCATGCAGCAGACAGGGTGGGGGGAAGAGGTAATGAGTAAACAATAGGTGGCAATAGAGCCCAAAGAGAGAGAGAGAGAGAAACAACTGGACAGACAAAGGAGTGGATAACAATTAGCCGAGGAGAATGAATAGCTACTAATGGGGATTGTTAGTGGCTAACAATGGTTTGTGTGTAATAGCAGACCATGTGATAACAAAGCCTGTTAGTGGGGTGTTAGGGTAAGGACATGGGAGAAGTGCCTCCAGCCCTAAAATTGTTGAACTTGATATTAAGTCCAGAAGGCTGCAAAATTCCAAAATGTTCTTTCAGCTTGCACTGAGCTTCAATGGAGCACTGCAGCAAGCCTGCAGCAGAGACGTTGGCCAGGGAACAAGGTGTGTGTTGAAGTTCAGGCAACTGGAAGCTCAGGGTCTTTTTTATGGACAAAAAGTAGGTGTTTGTTGAAGCAGTCACCCAGTCCATGCTTCATTTCCCCAGTGTAGAGGAGACCACATTGTGAGCAGCAAATGCAGTACACTAGAGTGAATGAAGTGCAGGTAAATGTCCACTGTGGCCACTAACCTTATTTCACCTGGTGAACTCCTCCCACTGTCTCCAAGTTTCAAGTCTCCCAACCTCGCACAGCTCACTTCTACTTCCTTCTCAAAATCCACAAACAGGACCGCCAGTAACATCATTCATAAGTTAATTAAGGAGATTATTTAAAAAAACCTGATTTGTGAACAGCATCGGGCAATCTGTGGTCAAAAACTTACCTCAGGATCATGCAGCACTAAACTTGGTTTAACCCAAAAACCAGTTGATAGTAAGATGGATGGTGTTGGGAACAGAGTATTTTGTCGGAATCAAAATAGTGTAGTGCCCTTGGTGTTCTTCTTATTTAGTCAGAGGAGGTTGAACGTATGGAAAAGCATGCTGTGTTTTTAGTTGATGGTACTGAGAGGTAGCATGTGGATGAGAACTAATAACGCCCTTGGGGCATGTGCACACACTCTGAAGCAGCCTTGAGGAGCCTCATCTAGGTGGATGTAAATGGAGGAGTGCCTGAGGAAGATAATGGAGTTAAGCACATCTTACTTTGTAAGGAGGAGTAGTTGCCTTGTGTCACAGTCACATAGAATCTTATTTGTGGTTTTGATGAAAGCCAAATTAATACCATGGTAGAGTGGAAACCTGTTTGGAGGATTTAAGCAGAAATATGTGCATGGATTTGAGAGGTAATGACAGGCTGAAGGACGTTGTGGAAGAAAAGGTGTTGGATACGCAAATTTGTGAGGATGCAGAGATCAGGGGTTGGTTTTGTGATAAGGGGTGAACATTGTAGGTTTGAAAGTGAAGGGGTTAAAGGTGAGGAGAACTATATCCGCAAATGTGGGAGCCAGAAGAAGTTGAATAGTGTGTAGTCTAGTGGGAATGGGAGCGAAGGAGCAAATGCTGATGAAAGCTGCACAACTCTGGCCTCCTCACACAGCCATTTCATCCGATGTGCAACTTCATCCGTTGATTCCCCAGTGAGGTTGGACAATAAATCCATCATCCAACAGTTACTGACCTTCTTACTCTCAAAACTTTCAGAAAATATTGTGCTTGGCAGCAAGACTGTATACAGAGACTGGAAAATTGATCAGCCAGACTCCATACTGTCCCAACAAACGTTCCCAGGGCAGGTACAGCACAGGGTTAGATACAGAGTAAAGCTCCCTCTTCATTGTCCCCATCAAACACTCCTAAAGCAGGGACAGCACGCGGTTAGCTACAGAGTAAAGCTGCGTCTACACTGTGCCCATCAAACACCCCCTTTGCAGGGACTGCACAGTGTGATACAGAGTAACGTTTCCTCTACTCTTTTACATTAAAAGTAAAGCTCCGTCTGCACTGCCACCATCAAATATTCCCCATGCTGCTGCAGCCTGAGTCAGCTTGTGCTGTAGTCACTAAGCAGGCAATTTCAAATTATCATCTCTCCCCTCTGCCCAATGCCATTAACATTTCTGTCACTCCCAGAGCCCAAGAGACCCTGAAAGAAATGAAGGGTAGCCTCTCCCTTACCTCTTGGAATATGTGAAGGACAACTTATTGCTCAAGTGAGAACCCAGAAGAGAGTGGAGAATAGGTCAATCTCTCAGACCTTAGCAAAAGAAAACCTAACACAAGAAAAGTAATGTTACCTCATTCAATTGGTAGCGATTTTATTTTGTCGCAATCCTAACCTCATCCTAATCTCAGTGCATATAAGGCAGCACTGTGAGTGTAAGTCCAGCTCCAACATGGAGCCCTTGCTTTGTGAACCACCTCCTAGGCTGCTGGCTGTGTCGCTGGGGTAGGTCGCTGGGAGCAAAGCCACAGCTTCATGGAGCTCTCAGCCCTGATGTTGCAGGGGCTCATCAGGATCCTGTCACCCTCGTCCTCGTTCTCAGCAGGCTCCGGAAACTTGCACTGCCCCGAGGTGGTAGCCAGCAGGTTCATACGTGGGTGTAGGCTGATCCCGTTAACACAGTCCTGCTGAGTGTGTAACTAAAGAGTGGGATTGAGGATGGAGTCCAGCCCCTTTGCTGGTGTTAATGTGGTGTCCTACGTGGAATGCGTTCCCTCAGTGTTCCTGCTGACTACATAGCGCCCATAAACATCCAGATCAAAATACGTCCTCTGATTGGTCGTCGCTGAATAGAGCTTGGAGAACAGCACTTTGCTGGGCTGACATAGGTCCCAGCACAGGATTTTGGGTTCCTTCCGCTTCCCCTACCCCAGTGTAGAGCAAGTTCCCATCAGATGAAAATATAACGTGTGTCACTCCTCCTTGGTGGCCCTGTAAAATGGTAAACACAGTCCCCTTGTTCCACTCTCTTAGAATAAGAGGCAAAGGCCTATAGGTCATGCTTGGGGCTGAAGATGATACACGAGATGATCCCAGTCAGCCCACGTTTCTTCACCAGTGTTTGTCTCTTCTCACACTCTCGGCCCGGACGAGATGTATCGAGCATCTTCACCATCTTGTCAATGCACAGAACAGCTGAGTCCCATCCGGTGTAAAGCAGACATCAGCTCATCCAGGTGATTGTATGGCTGGGGGAGTGGCACGGTGGCTCAGTGATTAGCACTGCTGCCTCACAGCACCAGGGACTCAGGTTTGTTTCCACCCTCAGGCGACTGTCTGTGTGGAGTTTGCACATTCTCCCCGTATCTGCGTGGGTTTCTGCCAGGTGCTCCAGTTTCCTCCCACAGTCTAAAGATGTGCAGGTTAGGTGGATTGGCCATGCTAAATTGCCCGTAGTGTCTAGAGGTGTGTGACTTAGGTGGATTAGCCGTAGGAAATGCAGGGTTACAGGGAAAACGGTAGGGGAATGGGTCTGGGTGGGATGCTCTTCAGGGGGCAGTGTGGACTTGTTGGGCCAATTGGCCTGTTTCCACACTGTCAGGATTCTATGATTCTGCTATACCCTGCACCAGTGAAATTCCTAGGGATCCCAGCCAGCCTGTTGCCCAACTCCATAGAGTGGAGGATGGGTGTTTTAGTTTGACCATATCTTTTCATATATGTGTTGCTAAATTGGTGATTGCTTTGGAGTAATCTGGGATATAATTTAGCCCTGATTAGAGCACAGCTGCCTCCCTTTTCAGCCAGTATCCAGTCAAGAGCCATTTTATTCTGCAGTGTTGTTTTACAGTTGGCTACCATTTCAGCACTTATTTTGTTCAAGGCCTCTGCAGTATCATTAGCCATCTGTTCTAGGACATCTGCCATATTGATAGACTCCCTCACCAGTTTTGCAGTCCTGTATCAGGGGATCAA